GCAGCAGAGAGGAAGATCAGAGGCTAGAGGCAGAGTGGAGAGACTGCCTCCCTACAGACAATAATGGTGCAAACGCCCAGGGACCAGCTTCTGAAACTGTCTATTTTCGAAAGAAGTAGTACTACTCAACACATTGTTATACAACTCCAGGTATATAGACATATAAAACAAATACACAAATCAAATATTTTTTATTATGTGTGTATGTTCTGTGTGTTCTGTTGTACATATGTGTGGTGTGTGTGTGTGTGCATGTGTATGTGAAGACCAGAGGTTAGACAGTGGGTGTCATCTTCAATTGCTCTCCTCTTTGTCTTTTTTTGTTTGTTTGTTTGTTTTTCAAGACAGGGCTAATCTGTGTAGCTTTGTAGACGAGGCTGGCCTTGAACTCACAGAGATCCGTCTGCCTCTGCCTCCTGAGTGCTGGGATCAAAGGTGTGCGCCACCACCACCCTGTCTATTTTGTTGTTGTTTTTAAGCAGGTATGCTAAGAATTCAAACCAAGATTGTCATGCTTGCATGACAGGCATTTTACCAAAAGCTATCTCACCTGATCCGAGTAGTTTATTTTAAAACAGTTCTTTAGGAGACAGGGACTCACTATGTAGCCTTGGCTGTGTAGACCAGGCTGGTCTCAACAAACTCATAGAGATCCACCCACCTTTGTGTTATCATGGCCAGTTCATCTTTGGAATTCCTGTCCTAACTCAAGACAAAATTCATACAATGATGGGGGCGGGGGTACTAAGGATTGAACCCAGGACCTTGCACATGCCAAGCAAGCACTCTACCACTGAGCTACAACCCTCTATCTTCGGAGACTTTTTATGACTCTCAAGTGAGTAACAACAGCAATTTTTAAAACCAAGCATTCTAGGGCCAACAAAATGGGTCACTGGGTAAAGGCGCTTGCCGCCAAGCCTGGAGACTTGAATTTGACCTCTGTCAACCTTTGTCAGCTCTCACAAGTTATTTCCTGACCTCCACACACAGACCTGAAAAAATGTAAGTAAATTTCAAATTCAAGCATTCTAACAAAACACAATCCAAAGCTATATTAATTGGAATGAGAAATGACAGCAGGAAAATACTGTGTTTTCTGTAATTAAACCATTATATCTCCGTAAGAGCAAAACACTTCGTATGTGCAGTAAAAACACTGAAATTCATAGCAAATGAGATGAGCTACCTCAGAAAGAGCCAGTGGCAGTGCCTGCTGTGTTGGTATGTGTGCAGAGCACAGCATTCATCTGGTGGTTTCAGAACCAAGGCTGCAGACAAACTGACCACACAACCTGGTCAAGAACTATCAGAAACACCTCAGATTCATTCTTGTGTTTGATTTTGAATCAAGTTTTGGTAGTTGTACATTCAGAAGTCTTTTTGTTGTTGCCAAAATTTTCACCACTTCTACATTCAGTTATGTGCCGACATGGGGTTTCACCAGGGGTTTCACCCTGGAAGCTGTGGTCTAGGGCCAGGACGGGAGCTGGAGAGGCAATCTGGGGCAGACTTGGTGACAATTTGCAAGGAATAAAAGGGAATGTCAGAGGCATGTGTCCGCCTATGAAATGTTGCTGTTGTGGGTTTCAGAGGAGAAGAAAAGAGGGAGCTGGTGGCAGAAAGCAGGTTCCGGCTGGTTGCACCAGGTGTCTTCCCTACTCACTTGTTAGTTCTCTAGTCCAGGCCTATGTCCTTTACAGCTACACATATCTGGCTCTTCTAAGTTCCCCAAAGAGCAGGTGACTTTTTTGGATGACTTATACCCAGTGAACCTTCTGCACAAACCCAACCTTGGAGATCCATATCACCGATGGGGGCTTCGGGGAGGTGCCCCTCAGTGATACCCATTTATATAGGAGCTCTTTGTGGCTCCCAGAAGACCATCTAAGGAATCAGTGCCGCCTCATCTGGGCCTCAGTTAGGCCTCATGGAACAGACCTTAGATATACCCTTAGAGCTTCATGGTGGGTGTGGGAAATCCCATGAAGCCATCATACAACTGCCAAGGCTCAAACCTAGAGAGCTTGAGCCAGTGTTGGAAGCTCTCAATTGTGCCCACAGCCCTGGTCTCCCTGCTGGGCCTCTGTGCAACAGGTGTGCTGGGACCTAAGAATGCACTCGCCTTGCCTTGAATAATAGTGATCGCCAATCATTTAGCCTCCTGTTGTATGCTAGGCAGTGAAGTTAGGTATTTTATGTTACTAACCTTTCTAACAACTCTAGGCCATTACCATCTACTCTTTATACTCGTTATAATGTCTGGACCAGTAAGTGAACAAATTAGGATTAGAATTTAGCTCTGGTTTATGGCCATACC